CATTGTCAGACCACATCAGGATCCCATTCAATTTGCTTACCAGCCGTCTCACAGGACGCCATCATCTATCTGCTCACTCGTGTCTACATCCACCTGGACCAGCCGGCGAGCACTGTGAGGGTCATGTTTTTTTACTTTTTCAGTGCTTGGTGATAAGCTAACAGCGATGCAGGTGGAGGCTTCTCTGGTGTCCTGGATTGTTGATTACCTGACAGGAAGACCACAATATGTACGTCTTCCACATTGTGTGTCTGACAAGGTAATCAGCAACACAGGGGCACCATAAGGGACCGTCCTCTCCCTCTTCCTCTTCACCCTCAACACCACAAACTTCAGCCACTGCACAGAGACCTCCATCTTCAGAAGTTTTCTGATGGCTCTGCGGTGGTTGGATGCATCAGCAGGGATGATGAGACAGAGTACCGGGTTGTGGTCGACTCCTTTGTCACGTTATTTTTCAAATGTATGTATGTATGTAGAACCTATAAGGTACATGACTGGCTTCTCCTATTGAAGCCATCATTAAAAAGGACATTATTTACGGATGCATTATGAACAATAGTAAATATGACTTTATGGTGAATGTTATTCAAATCCTCTGTAATTAGCATTCACAGATTTCAACATATGAAAGTGAAACCAATATTTCGAGGATTTCATAACAATTTCCATTTGTATTTCAAACCTGTTACAATTATGAAAACAACAACAACAATAATTATAGTAATATAAAGATAAAACTAAGAAGCTTACCATGTACATGCACATTACCCATCAAAGGTTTCTCCACCAAACAATAAGTGATGCTTTGCTTGGGGATAAAATAATTATTATCCCACACTGTTGTAGCAATAATAATAATTATATATTGTTATTATTATTATTATTCTCATAATTATTTTGTTTAAAAGGTCAATTCCATTTTCATAAAGAAAAGGAAAACCACAAATTACTCACAGTTAATTGAAAAAAAATGCAGGTAAAGAAAACAAAATTGAAAATCAAAAGGAAGGCTTTAATCTTTTCATTTAAAAATATTTCAGGTTTCATTTTTTATTAAAAATTGCTGACTGCCATCGCCTATAATTTAAATTCTTGGCACCACGAATGGTAAATAATCTTTTTTTAAGCATCCTGACAGATGACATGCTCCTTGTCTACCACCCATTTTATTCTTTTTCTAGCAGCACGTTGGTCTTTTTTCACAACATTTTGATGTCCAACCTTTTTAAAACAAACCTTTGTTGTGCTCAGGGTTCTGAGCTTTCACATTGTGTAAAATAACTTCAAAATAATATTCAAAATAAAATAAATCAAATGCCTTTTT